TCAGGAGTAGAACACCCTGTATTACTAATTAAGAATATAATTTTTTTAAAATGAAGTGTGATTTCGAATATTTCGAATATAAGCCGCACCCCAGTTTTCCTCTTGAATTTTTGGCAAAAAATTTGTGGCCTATACATGCGTAAATACGGTAGTTTCATGGGTATCCCAAACTCTATGAGAATATTGCACAATACTTTCCTCCTAACTGAATCGTAGGCTTTCTTGAAGTCTATGAATAGCTGATGTACTGTCTCATCGTACTCCAATTTTTTCTCCAATATCTGACGAATGCAAAAGATCTGATCTGTAGTTGATCTGTTACGTCGAAACCCACACTGATGATCCCCAATAATTTCATCTATATATGGGCTTAACCTTGAAAGAAGAATATTGGACAAAATTTTATATGAGATTGATAGCAGTATCACCTGATAATTACTACAGTCGGGTTTATCACCCTTCTTGTGAACTGGTACAATAATAGACTCCTTCCACTGATCAGGCAATTTTTCCTTATGCCAAATAGAAGTAATTAGATTGTGGATCTTAGAACGTAATATTTCGCTTCCTGCTTGAATAAGTTTTGCAGGAAAAAAAAAGACAAAGTTGTCTCTTTGAGTAATTAATATCCATGATATTAAGACGTATGGATACCTGCAGGTACAGCTCCACCAACCTTAACCAAGACGCCGGACCCCCAGCCCCTTCTATTCACGGAGAAAAGCCCCCGGTACCCATTGGATAGGAGGCTGGGTGGGCCCCAGAGTAGGTCTCTAAGTTGTGGAGAAGAGAAATATTTGTTGATACCCTCGGAAATCATCTGCCATCCACCCCATAGCCTAGTCACTGTACCAAGTGGGTTACCTCAGTTCCCATAGCGAACATACTGTACCTAGCATGCATTCATTTCTGTCTTGCGACTTGCATCACTAAATACGTAAGTTGGGCCTGTCTTGTTTGAAATATTGTACCCATAAACTAAAAATTGTTCCATAGCTTTGTATTTTGTTGTATACACTTGTTGCTTTGTTATGTAATTGTTTATATATTTTGGTCACCATATACGAGTATCTGTATGTAACGTCCTCGTTCGTGTTCGTTCATCCAGTGGATGTGAATTGATTTGTGACCTTACATCGACTGCTTCAGACGAGGTCCCTCTAGCAATAATCCTCTAAACTTATAGTCTGGTGTTACCTGGTTTTAGCCTCGAACAGACAGCCAGCCATGCTGATCAAGAATACCGTGACCTTTATCGGGGTTCTCATTCTAATGCTGAGATAGTTTCAACGTCTCCTTCCAAACCGTTATGTACTCACCATTCATTATCATTTCATCTTATTCGACGCTATATAGCCTATGCAGTTGATACAGCAACCTGTGGATCCAGAACAGTCCCTATTCACCGTTTGGTATACGTTCCTAACTCAAGGAAACACAGTCCTTCACGAGGAGATGACCGTAGTTCAGCCATTCAAGAAATCTCCCGTATTTTATGGAATCCGAAAGTGCATTACCGTGCTCAAAAGAGCCCGCCACTGGACCCTACTCTGAGCCAGTTAAGTCCAGTCAACACCCTTACATCATCTTAGTAATATCCTCCCATCTACGCCTCCTACATATCTTCTAATAAACAAAACAAAAACAACAACCTCCTTGAATTTAGTCCGCAAGCTAACTATACCGACCAAGCGATTGCCGCTTGTCGGCGAAGTTAGCGTCATCTTCTAATAAATATAAGAAAGAAATAACATTCATATATAATTTTAATAACATTTCTTTTGTAATCTTCCACTCTATGTACCACACCACAAGTCACATCTAGCTGCAATAGGACACCAGCTCTGTTTAATTTAAAAGAAAATATATGCATTAATTTTTTACCCTTCTTATATATGATTTCAATTCTATATAATTATGATTTTAACTTAAGTTTAATGTTTTCAAAGACATACCGGTATATCTCGAAACTAAATTGTTGTATACGATACTGTTTTACCCTCCTCAGGATTTCGCACGCTGCTCTTATGGTGTTGATGACCAGTTAACCATCAACAAACATCATTCGTATCAAGTTAACTTAATTTTTTTTTAATTCTTCTGTTTCGTTTGACGACTAACATGTCCACGCATAAGAACATACTTTTTTTTTTAAAGAATTAGGTTATACTTAATCACATTTAACGCACACATACTTCGAGATAATATAATACACGTGAGTATCGTTCGTGACATGAAGTAGGTTATACGCAATCGAATTTAAAGCATACGTACTTCGAGATAATTGAATGCCCGTGAATATCGATCATAATATGAAATAGGATATACGCAATCGAATTTAAAGCATACGTAC